AAAAATGAGTCCAAAATTTTATCTTCAAGAGGACCTTGAGATTAGCTCAGTTGGTTAGAGCATAGTACTAATAACACCAAGCTCATGGGTTTGATCCCCGTATGGGCAATTTACTTCAAAGTTGGACTCGATGATCCTTGTGGGTCCCTTCCAATTCAGAACATTCTGTGAGTCTCTGAAAGGATAGAAGTGATTCATTAAAACCAAAACTAGGAGAGGGGAGTTGGTGACCATAGGAAGAGGAAAGATGGAGAAAGAGTAGAGATCTAGAGACCACATAGACATGTACTTCCTAAACATATGTGTTACACTCCAGATTTTAAGCCATAACCTGCCCAGAGTAGTTACATTTTATTTAAGACTTTTAAAAAGCCTTTTCGTTCATTATAACCTCGAATTCGCATCTGGAAAAAGAGTCACACACTTCTCTAAGGAAAATTCTTTTAATTTAGTGAGAAAAATAAGATATTTTGGCAAAAGGTTTTACAGGAGTAAAATACAAACAAGAAAAAATATTTCACTAAAACATTCATCACAAAAAACCCATTCCACAGGAAAAAAACGCTACAAATAATCAATATACCAGCTTTAGTAAAACACAGTTCATTGGTTTTAAGTTACCCATAAGGGAAGGAAAAGAATGAAAGAAGAACACAGATGAAAGAGTAAAGAAAGAGAGATGAAAGACAGAAGGAGAGAGAGGACAGGAAAAATGGTTACCGACAAGATCTGATGGTTCACGTGGTGCAGGCAGCAGGAGAAAAGAGAGAGACAGAGCTCACATGGAGTCTCGTGTATTTACAGAGTTCAGTTTTCCCTCCCAGGCAGGATATCCAGTCAGTGCCTTCCAGGCCAGAGTGAGGTGTGCTGCAGGCAGTCACAGGCTCCGGGGGCTTGGTGTGGGTGGGCTACCAGGCAGGTCTGCCTTCACTGACAGCCCGGCTGCAGGGCCTTCAGTGATGCCGTGGGCTCATGTGGGCTGCAGGACCTCCCAGCTCTGCCCTGTGCCCTCAGCAGGCCTCATGTACAGGCCTTACCATGGACCTGCAGGTCTGGGCCCAGCCCTTCCCCACACGCACACACACACTGACAGTGAGTTGGTTCTGACCCATATCAATAATTCAGTGCGATTCTGATCCTGTGTCTCACAAGCAGTTCAGTGGATATTATATTCAGCCCAGCTGTATGATATGTTCTGCCTGTGTAACCTTAAAATTGAATGAGGAACTACTCAAGAAGCACGTTTTTATAAATATTGAGACAAATAGCATTCACTGCTCTAAATCCTACTGCATATGATAACAGAGCAAGAATGCTCACTATAAGTAATAGGTAACTAAAAACATCTAAAAAAACCAATCTCACCCCCTCCCAAACAAAACAACACTCATACCAGCACAAAGTGAGGTTTCCTGATAAAGGAAAGACTTGCTCTTTTTCAGAAAATATTAGGAATGTTCTTCTCAGAAAAAGAAGTTTGAACTAAGCAATGTCCTTCTTTAGAATGACACACATACAGTGACTCGCATGGAAATGCCATTGACCACCCATAAGAAGAATGCCTAAACAATACATTGGTAGCAAGAATTGTGGAATGAATATGTGCTGCCGAACAGTGGCACAAGCAGATGTTTTGTGGAGGCTTATGGGGGATTTCTGCATGGGCATCTAGGAGAGGCAGGGAGACTGTAGTTGTGTTCTATCAGATCTTGCTATGCTGGAGATTCCTAAATGCATCTGTAACATCCAGCAGAAGATTTCTAGCAGACATCTGGGTTGTGTCCCTCTATACTGCTTCACTAAAGAGATAAAAACAGAGATGAGAAATTACTTCAAAACATGTAAAATACTTTAAGGATAAAGTCGTCTTAATTAGTAGTGATAGTGAGAGACTAAAAAGAATTTGAAATGACCAACCACTTCATATCACATATTGGGAAATCACCTCAGTGAATGCAATCCAGCAGGCTAAATGTCCTGACAGTGCCCTAAAATTTCTTTTCTGCTGACAATTGGATGAAAAGCAATGAAAATTCTGTCTGCACACAGGCTAAGGGTACAAGAGTTCAGTGACTCAAGCAGATCCCAGACAGATAATAACTACTGCTTTCATTTCTCCAAACTATGAGTTCAGAAGCTTAAGCTGATACAAATAGTGCGTTTTGCCATTGTAAGCTCTCTCTTCTGCTTATCTTCATATTTTATACTGTGCTTATTGCAGTGGTATTCCTCCTAGGCTACTGTTCCCACAAAACACTCTTGCCAAACTCCTAATGATCCATTCATCTTGTGTCTTGATATTAAAAACCTCATGCAAGACATGATAAGCACTAAGGCAATTAGCTACACCACCTGCCCCATTCCACCTACTTGCCTGACGCTACAGGTGACACCATCACATCAACAAAAACTACAAATCTGAATCCAAATCCAGACCAATAAGATGTCCTTCCATAAACTTATTTTTGGCTACTGAATAAGACAATCTTCCTTCTTACATCCTATTAGTTTATCCCAGGAAGTATTTAGAACTAGAAAATGGAAAAGCTTCACTACAAACTATCACAGAAAGATGAAATTTTAAAAAAAGCACAACAAAACACATAAATTGCAAACAAATATATGCCCTTCAGCCAATCGGCATAGCAGAAATGTGGACATTCCTTTGGAAGAAAGGACTTCTATTTTGTGGCAAAACTGAATATATAACTCGTGCTTTCTACTAAGTAAACCCTAAACACTATACAAATGCATATGCATATTTGAGGTTGCATGTTGGCTGGGGGATAGAAAAATATAACCAACCAAAACCAGACATTCCTTGCTTCAAGATGGAAGTACCTATTTACTGTTTTAAGAGAGAACAACTAAAGATCTCCTTTCTTAAAACTGTTCCCACAAAAAAAAAGTATATTAGCACAGCTACACCAACTCTTTTGCAAAAGAGTTGAACAGAACAAAAAAATATAGACATGTAAGGCAAGTATAGGGTCCCTACATACCACTTACGGAAAAAATATGGTTATTACTGCTGTTGTTTTCCTTCCCAGTTGTTACTAATTTCAGTGAAAATACTTCCACTGCTTTAAGGTATATAAGTCTGACTCAGGAAAATATTTTAAAATACAGAGCTTTAAGAATTTGCATACTTTCAGTGATTTTAATAAGAATCAATGGCAAGCATTAATTATTCACTTAGAAATCCTGCTAACCAGGAGCCATAGTGCACTATTTCTGTAACAATGGAATGTAAATAATATTGTTAGGTTGAGTACTGTAAAATTCAGTGGCTATTCTACTGTAGGCTAACTAACAATACTTTCTGGAGGATTGATATGTGTAATACTATTTAGATCTGTGCAACAAGAGAAGTTACAATATTTATGAGGATAACTGTATTACTTAACATAGCACTGGTAAACACTGGAACCACAGACGTTACTTTTATCTTTCCATTATCATGGCACTAAAATCATGGAGCAAATTAAAAAGCTCTTGTGACAAACCTTTAGGAAAAAATCTACGTCAAGTGAAATAACAGAAGAACTTTTACTTCTAGCACTTTCAAAAGAAGTATGAGCTTCGTGCTTAGCACTGTTTCTGATCTGAAAATTTTGTTCAGCCACCAAATCTTTCATTAAAAGATAGTGGGAGACAATAATTTGACACATAAACTTTCTTTCATTTCCTCATTGTAAGAGAGAATTATATGAAACATATACTCAGATTTTCTAAATTTTGCAAAATCTTATATTATTAGTTGCTAAAACAGAGTAATTGAAAAAAATTTGGGTATATGGTATTTTTTGTGGATACATTGTAAACCCACTGGAAGATTAATTCCAAATTCACTCTCCAGGACACTTTCATTGTTGAACCTTAATTTCTTGTTTCCACTCAATTATAGTTCCTCTCTCAATATCAAATTAAGGTAATTTCTCTAATAATAACTAGATAATGACTCAACTCCCACAGAGGCCAAGGCAGTTGGGCAGCAGAATGGAGAACAACTGTGCCCAGTGTTGGATCACATGGTTTCCCCTTTGAACGCAGTATCTTGGTAGATATAATTAGAAGAAAAGTCTAATTTTCATGGAATCATAGAATTACAGAATTATTTGAATTATTAGAATGGTTTGCATTGGAAGGGACCTTACAGATCATCTAGTTCCAGCCCCCCTGCCATGGGCAGGGATGCCACTCACTGCCCCGGTTTGCTCAGGGCCCCATCCAACCTGGCCTTGAACACTGTCAGGGATGGGGCATCCACAACTTCTCTGGGCAATCTCTTCCAATTTCTCACCAACCTCACAGTAAAAAAAAAGTCTTCCTTATGTCCAGCCTAAATCTATCCTTTTTCAGTTTAAAACCACTGCCCATTATCCTGTCACTTCAGGCCTTGGTAAAAATTTTCTCACTGTCTTTCTTATGAGTCCCCTTTATATATTGAAAATGCTCCAGTAAGGTCAGCCCAGAGCCTTCTCTTCTCCAGGCTGAACAATCCCAGTTCTCTCAGCCTGTCTTCATAGGAGAGGCACTCCAGCACTCTGAGCATCTTTGTGGCCTCCTCTGGATTTGCTCTAAAAGGTCCATGTGCTGGGGACCCTAGACCTGGATGTAGTACTCCAAGTGGGGTTTCAGGAGAGTAAAGGTATTTTGAAAATAACAGCATGTATACATTGTATGCAGAAGAGGCAGACAAAGACACCGTTCACTGTATAATTATTAGCCAGATCTGAAAACAAAAAAAATATTTTTAATCTTTGTGGTTAAGCCGTGTGCTCCATTTCCCTTAGGCAAGCCATTTGTTGCACAATTTATGCTAAATGAGGTGTTCTCCAATTCACAGTGTATTGTTTCATAAAAAGAGGGAAAATGCAGATGAAATGTGCCCATCCCTCTGACCAGTTCACATGACACAAGACAACCTTCACCTACCATTAGCAACAGCGCTATAGCTTAGCAATATTTGTTTCTAAATATCTAACCTAATGCAATCACCAGGCAAGTTGCACCAAGACATTTTTACTCCTTTAGAAATATGAATGGCTGAAAAGAAAATGTCAACAATAACAAAGAATTCCATACACTTTCTACAAACTGGAATACTTTTGTAGATGATGTAAATCTTTTGTTCTACAGTGGATTGCAATTATCTAAACAAAAGGATTACAACTGGCAACTGATTTTTGTTAGTAATACTGAAAACTGACAGAAGTTTCAGTACGAGATTTGCCAGTTGGCACAATAAAGAAGGGAAACCCCTCCAACAGGCAGCACATGATAGAATTCCTCCCTCCCAAACACACAGAAGCTGCAGTGCTAACTTGGGATTTTCTTCTTTCCTTTTCCTTACATTGAGGCAGCTTCCACAGCTTATATTCAGGTCCTCAAAACTTGCTCTTGTTCCAGTGCTACAAATGCAGAACAATTATGCTTATGTGAGTGGGCATCAAGAAGAGAACCTGGCAGAGAGCATAAACTGAAAATAGCTTGTTTTCCTGACTCATGAGCTCATAACTTATCTCAAACCACTTACTCAGGGCAAAACACCCCTTCCGTTCCCCATGCGCATCCTGTGAGATGGCTCCCACTATGACGCAGCATCACAACCAGCCCTGGGAAACTCTCATGAAGCATTTGGAGCTCCATCAGCAGAGCAAAGGGTGGCATGGGTCTGCTTAATTTCAGAAAATGGCAGTGTTGGAATTACAGTGTGGTGACAGGATTCATCAGAAGAATTTATTTTCATGCTATGGGCCTGTGGCCTAATGAATTGGAAAATATTTGTCTATGTTCTCTGCTTAAGCTCTAAATTAAGCTGACACCTTTTATTAAAAATGCCAGTTTTATGAACTGAAATACATGACATGCTATTGCCTGATTGATAATACAAGTTTCCTTGCAGTTCTGTGTATAATAACAACATTTTTTTCTTGGCATACACGGGGGCTATAAATTCTCCACAGGTGAAACTCTTATATCCTGAATAGTGTATTCAGTACATTATCTGTATTGTTTCTATGTAAATCAACAAGTATATTGATTAATGCTAGCAGGGGTATAGTGCTAAGTTTATATTCTAAATTACAGATTGCTGAATTCTTATTTATCTGTTTACAGTCCCTGAAAAAAAATAGTCTGTTATCTATTCTTTAGGCTTCTGGTTGATGAGGTAGGGATTTAACATTGCCTCAGTTTTCAAGAAGGGCAAGAAGGATGACAAATTAAAAGACCTGTTTGTGTCACTGCAGTGACCAGTAAAATTATGGAGATTATCCTGGGATGTATTGGAAAACACCTGAAGGACAACGCAGCCATCAGTCACAGCCAGCATGGTTCCAAGATGGGAAAGTACTGCTTGTCAAACCTAATTTTCTTTTATGACAAGGTAACCCACCTAGTTGATTAAGGGAAGCCAGTTGATATAATCTTTGTGGATTTCAGTAAAGCTTTCGATACTGTCTCTCACAGTATCCTTCTGGACAAATTGTCCAGCACACAGCTGGATAAACACATCATGGGGTGGGTGAGCAACTGGCTCAGGGGTCAGTTTCAGCAGGGAGTTTCAGCAAATGGGGTAACATCAGGCTGGTGACCAGTCATTAGTGGGGTTTCACAGGACTCCATCTTAATCCCACTTCTCTTCAACACCTTCATAAATGACTTGGATGGAACACTAAGCAAGTTTGCCAGTTGTAGTAGATTGGGAGGAGCTGTTGACCCCCTCAAAGGCAGGGAGGCCCCACAGAGAGACTTCAACAAATTGAAGGGCTGGGCAACCCCCAACCCTATGAACAAAGACAAGTGTCAGATTCTGCACCTGGGATGGGGCAGCCCTGGATGTATGGACAGACTGGGGAATGAGATGCTGTAGAGCAGTGCCATGGAAAGGGACCTGGGGGTCCTGGTCAATGGTCAGTTGAATATGAGTCAGCAGTGCCCTGGCAGCCAGGAGGGCCAACCATGTCCTGGGGGGCATCAGGCAAAACATCACCAGCCGGTCAAGGAAGGGGATTGTCCCACTCTGCTCTGCACTGGGGTGGCCTCGCGTGAAGTTCTGTGTGCAGTTTTGGGCACCACTATATACAAAATATATAAAGCAATTGGAGAGTGTCCAAAGGACGGCTGTGAAAATGGCCAAGAGCCTATTAGGAGTGTCTGAGGTCACTTGGTCTGTTCAGCCTGCAGAAGAGGAGACTGCGGGGAGACCTCAAAGCTGTCCAGAGCTTCCTCACAAAGGGCAGGCACTGCTCTCTTCTCTCTGGTGACCAATAATAGGCCCCAAGGGAACAGTAGGATGCTGTGTTAGAGAAGGTTTATGTTGGAGATTGGGAAAAGATTCTTCACTTAGAGAATGGCTGGGCATTGGAACAGGGTCCTCAGGGAGGTGTTCACAGTACCAGGGCTGTAAGAGTTCGGGAAGCATTTAGACAGTGCTCTCCGGCACATGGTGTGTTTCTTGGGGCTGTCCTGTGCAGAACCAGTAGTCAGACTTCGATGATTCTTGTGGGTCACTTCCAACTCAGGATATTCTATGATTCTATTATTAAAAGGCAATTTCATTGAACTAGGGTTTTCATTCTTGGGTTTCTTAGAGGAGAGGAGACTACCTGTGGAGCTTTAAGGCTTTTTAATGGAGGAAAATCAAATACTGCCTATGCACAGTCTTCTGACTCCATGTCACTAAGAGGAAAGCAGCATGAACTGTGGAGAGCTGCCCCTAAAGGACTCCTTGCAGCATCTGCTGGAGATCTTCCAAAGAGTAATGCTACTCTGGAGTGTAAAGAAATGATTTGATAATACTCCCTCTGTAGCTTGGAGAGTCAGATAAAGGCAGCAAGAAGAGATTTAATTTATACTTCAGAGGTTTACAGTTGTGTTCTGCTAACAAAGTGGTCTGACTGTTAGCTTTTCTTGTTGAAAAATATAAAGACTGATAGGTCATGTTAACGACATTATTATCAGTAGTTTCAGGGATGACATACATATTCTGTGCCTGATATTTTGCCTAGAGCTATATGAATCTAAATAGTCAATTGATACAATCCAGCCAATTCTGTGCTAGAGAGGCTAAAGGAAAAGTGAAACTAGCAGCATTACAAGTAATGAAAGATAATTTTCTAAATTTCTATTTCCTTAAATAGATTAAATGACAATTCTCCCAAGAATCAATTCACATTAAGTGATAACAGGGTAAAATATTGTTCAAAATGAACATAAACAAAACAAAATTAATCCATACCCCTTAAATCTCCAAGTATTTGTGTTAATTTTGAAGGAGCTGCCAAAACCTCTGCAGCTTCCTGAATGAACTGTTATTACTTACATTATGCTCACACAGCTTAACCTGGACATTCCACAACTCAGGAATGAAAAATCACTGATCATCAATACTCACAGCATTCTTCTGTGTTTGCTGCATACTGCGGGTATGACGGTAAGAGAAGCACACTATGCACAGAGGTCTCTCAACATGGGAGTTCTGTTCTCCGCATGAGCCGCCTTCCTCCTACCCTGTGAACTGCTTGTTTTCATTTTTTTGACCATCTTGTATTTTGTGTTTCCTCTTCCCTCCTCTGCCCACAACAGTTCTTAAAGATCCCTTTAAAGAAAAAGTTTTCATTTCCCTCTGCACATTACATGCAGATATGCAGACCTACTCATCTGTCACTTAATGGTGTTTAAACTGGTGATGTTATACCAATGTTAAGGTGGTGTGAAAGGGCAATTTGGCTCTGTCTAGTCTTCATCTGTTCAAGCTCATAACAGCACACTGAGTTCCAAATAATTAGGAGCTTCTCTCCAGCTGGTGTTTTGGTAGGAAAGGTGGTTGAGCAACCAGTCTGGATTTTCCTACATCTGAAAGAGCCTGAAGATGCCTTGAACATTACATACACTTTCCTAATATGTTTTCAGTGTCGGCTATAGCACAGCAGTGGGTGGAATGACAAATAGGTATTCTTTGGGAACGAATTGTCACTGTCAGGGTTCAGAGGGGTTCAGAGGAATTCAGAGCAGTAAATTTATATTTATTTACCAGTGCTTTTTACTGTTTACCAGGATTTTTCTTCTGCCCAATTCATGCAGCTATATTCAGAGAACTCCCTCTGTTTTGTTGCCAGATCTCCCTTGGACTTCATCTCCTGCAGTCTGCACACTGATGAAGGAATACAGGGACTTTGAGTGATATTTTGCATATTCAGGTTTCTCTCCTGGTCCTGCTAGTGATCTGCTGTGCCACCTTTCTATGCAGGCTTTTTGGAGACAGCATGAGGCACAAGGTTAATGGGGTGTGTATTACACAACTTAATGTTACTGATTAGATTTATTTCCTTTAAAACTAAGAGATATATTTTTCTGTAATAGGTTGTGAAACAACAAATGGGTAAGATGTCAAACTTGCTCACCTCTCAACCTGAGAGGAATATGAGGGCTGAAACCAGTCAATGGAAAACTTAACATGCCATTACATAGGCTTTCGGATATTATAATTCTGTTTCCATTGGACTTCCATCCAGAAATTCAGGTGGTTTCTGTTAATAGCTAGAGCATAGTGAAGATTTCTAATTTAATATCTGAAAAACTGTTTTAAAGAATGACTACATTAACAAGTATTACCAGCTTCTTGCTTAGACTAAAAGAACTTATTCTTTTAATACACCTAACTCCAGGGTGGGATTTTTTTTTTTTCCCATCTTCTGCCTCCTCTTGTCTTCATTTCCTTGGGTTTCACAAATATAGAGTAACAATTAGTTATGACTCAGACCAAGGTGGTTAACACTGTACTATTAATAAAACCGTTCAGGGGAATTATAAACTACCTTTGCATTCACAGAGTACATAGGTAGCAATATTTATCCATGCATTATACATCAGGAGATGATGAGCTGGATAGGGCAGATTGTATTAGGGTGGATAAATTAGGAACAGATGATTAGGATTTCTTTTTCCCTTTGGATCTCTAAAGTGCTCTTTCCCTTTCTCTCCTCACCTCTTAAGTTATTTGTATAATTCTTGTAATGCTCCCTCTGCATTTCCAAGATTCATTCAATTATAACATTATGGGAGGAAAACTGAAACAAGAAGTATCACTACTAAAATAACAATAACAACAGATTTGCAGATTTAATACTTGATTAAAACAATTCCCAACATTATTATTTGCACTTCCATCATTTATCTGGAGGAAAAAGTGATAAAGTCACTAAAGGCTCATGGCATGCTATTTAGACATAACGAAACGTCAAGAAACTCTTTCCACAAACACATTAGCACTAGAGCTAACCTAATATATTGCCAATAACTGTGGCTCATGTAGAGCTTGCACATCACATCTTTGAACATACAGAAAGTAAAACTGCAAATTACTTCATATATAAGTCCTGAAATGGCTTTCCTTAGATGGTAAAGAACCAATAATACTATTGGATCACACAGTGGCATTAAACAACAGCTTCAGAACAGCGTAGCTTAGTGGTGAAAGAATTTATTTAGGCACCCTGTCTCATCCACAGAAATGACAAAATGTGTATTAATTTAAGTGGTGCTCAGATCTCATCCCCAAAGTGCCACTAGTTGTATTA